TAATCGAAATTGATAATCGGATTATTCTGCAACAAAATCAAAATTTTAATCGATTGAAATCAATGTTACCAATCAACCTCAATCGAATCGATTGAGGTTGATTGGTAACATTGATTTCAATCGATTAAAATTTTGATTTTGTTGCAGAATAATCCGATTATCAATTTCGATTGCGCCCATAGGATTTTGGAATTTTAATCGATTTTAATCCCTAAAATTTTTCACTGGGTAGTTGCTTTAAATTAACTAACGAATATACATCAACGGTTAGCATCTAACAACGAATAGATATTTTATGTCGATTTATTTGTAGATTATTTCAACTAGGACTATGTGCTAATATTAGTAATTCTATGCGAGAATTACTTTACAAATAGTCATCTTTAATAATAATATTTGAACCTTTGCTTCACTTTATGAAACACTCACTCCTACATCTTTGCATTGTTCTAAATTTCAGACTTCATTCATTAGATTCTACAAGAGCTTTTCTTATAGAACGACATGATTCATACGAATATATTTTAGCATGATGGATATTAAACTGTAACTTTTATGAGTGAAAGACCATCATCGTGGTGAATACATGATGTTGTTGAAAGATCTATATTAAGTAAAAATAAATAGCATATGTTTATTTGAGTAGATAATATACTGAATGAAACGTTTCTCATTTATTTCCTACTCTCATTCATAACTTCTATATCAAATGATCCATTGACTTTGATTTACTTCCGTGAGCTTCTTATACTTTGATATCAGTGTATATTTATGAGATAATTCATTGTTATTTTCGTTCATATCAGTTTAACGTTCCTAAATTTCGTTCTAAGTCAACTTGACTATAAAAATTCGAAATGAATTTTGACTTACTGCTTTGACAGTGTCTTTTTGATGATTCCTACATATTCTCATAATAAATTAGAAAACTTCTGTTGAATGGCATATATAAGGTAGATATGAGATGATGTGAAAAGTGTGTTAGATTTACTTTGCACAAAATAAGCTATACTTACATTGTTCTTCTTCTTTTTGTTTATCACGAATAGCGTCTCGTTTACTCAACCAATTATTTGCAAATTCAATAGCACTATTAATATCACAGTTATCCAGTTGTACAATGAGATCATCAGCACTGATTTCTTGTCTATTGATATCATCAATCGATTGAATTTCTCGAACGAATTCACATACAATATCATGCTTTCGTGAATCAGCGTTTGATTCCATATTACGAATCGAGATAATTCTTTTTGCACATAATATTATTGAACATCGTGGTGGTAAAATAACCATATCGTTATTGTTAATACCAGGATTATATCGTTTATTTAAATGAATAATTTCATTTATAGAAGACCCGTATGTTTCTTTCCACCAATTTTGAATATTTTCAACAACACTACGAAAATCACTTGTTTCTATAATTTGACATAAATCTGTAAAATTTTTTTCAGATTTCTTTTCCGCACTTAATCGATTGGTAAATTCTCTACATTGTGTCACGAAATTAGTCGAACCAAGTATAGGTCTAGCTAATTTGCGAATTCGAACTATAAACTCCATGCATTCATCTATCTGTTTTGTGAGTTCCGAACGTAATTCATCTAAAGAATCTTTTAAATCATTCGGACTACTTGCAGCACTATCATTATTTACAGTATCAAGTAGATCGCTAACGAAACGTTGAACAATGGCTGCGTCTTCTTCATGTGTACTTTGGCTTATTGGAGTTGCTTCTGTTGTTGTTGCTGTTGTTGTCGGGTTTTCTGATAACATTAATTCGTCTATTTTGGCATATTCATGAGCTTCATTTTGTTCGATGGTTTCCAAATTTTGATCTATTAATTCTATCTGATCATCAATGAATCTTTCAAGACAATAAGCTAAATCAGTATCCATAGTTGTGTTTCCTCTAGAAAATTTTAATTTTGTTTTAGAAATATCAACCAATAAATATTTCTTATGAAGAATAGGAGTTTGAATTTTTTGTGTGAAATTATGGTTGTACTTTTGATATAATCTGTAATAGGATCATGTCAAATGCGATGATTCGATGGAAAAATATATTATGGATGTGTAAGTCTTTCTTGTAAGTTTTTTATTATAGATCAAATACAAGTTTGGGTCTTTTTCTAAAATAGAAACGATGGTTTTATCATTGAATTTTGAGTTATGGAAGTTCTGAAATTGTATTATTCCAATCGATTGACTTGTCAATAGCTTTTGGTCATAATTAAATCGGTTAAGCTGTTTTGTTGTCATATCGACTACTTTTTATAAGTGATAAAAACGAAAGAAAGATGATGAAAAATTGGCCGGTTAGCTAACATGATTTAGCCGATAGAAATTCGTTTAATTACTTTAAAGTGATTTGATTCGCGCAAAATGGTATGCATGTAATTTTGAAAGTCTAATCGTTGAATACTCAAATAATGCAGTATCAGTTCACATATAACTATGTTTTGTACAAAAGCTTAAATTGGATATCATTCGTCAACGGCTCATATCAATCTGGATACGATGAACTTTTAACAAAATAACAGAATTCCTGATCAAATATCAAGTTAATTAATTAGAGAAAAATATGTTCTTATAAACCTTGATTGAAATCACATTAATTTATGATATTTTCTACGTTCTACAATTGATATAAACTATTGAAGTTGATCGATATTCTCAGGTACTTGTAATAAATCAACGAAGTCTTTATAAGAAGACCTGAGTAGTGAAATGAAAGAGGAGAAAATTCACCATGATAAATCAATTGAGAGTTGTAATCAATCACGAAAAATAATAAGGAAATCTTTTGGAATATTCTACAGAAAGCCTGTAAAGAGTTCTCACAAACTCCTTAGACACCATCTGGAAAATTCTAAGGATCCTGCAAGGATTTCCTAACGCAACTGTCGAATATGTTTTTCTGTTCTGTTTTCTAAGATTGTTGAAACTCTCAAGAAATATATTATCTTGAATATCTTCGCGCCTTGCTCAATTCTTCTGAAAGTTTTTCCATGAAGTCATCTGAACTGCGTGATTTTACCACGATCAGCTCAGGACTCGTTTAAGTAGAGCTTATTACAATCGGCACGATATCCATGTAGACCAGAGATGGAACCAGTATCGGTCAAGATTTCCGATCGGCCAGTATATGGTTGATCGGTACCATGTGTTTCTTTTCCTGATACTAAGTATTGAATATAAGCAACGAAGTACAATTGTCAAAACACAGAAAACATGTAGGCAGCTTGGCAATTTTGCCTGCTTTATATTGAAGAATTCAGCTGTGGTATTTATGTACTTCTGTTAGGTTAAAATATATCAGTAGAAAAATTTCGCCGGTGTAGATGGGTGAAGCCGGTCTGATCGGCTCAGATCGGTACCAATCATCGAAAACCTATACCGGTTCCATCTCTGATGTAGACCGTGATTATCCATTATTTACTTTTGTATCTAGTTGATTAAATTTTGAAAAGAAAGCAGATTAACACTGTTAAAATTTTGTAATGTCTTACAGATAATATTCAACGAGTGGCACAATTAATCCAAAGATTAGCAAACACATTATTGAATAGTTTTCAGATGATCACGGGTTTCAGTCGTAGAATATTAGTATGAATGAATTTGATCACTGCAGATAATTCATTGTTTAACTCTTCTGCAGCAATAAGATCTATCCGTGAGTCTCACTATAAGATAGTTTAATAGATCATTTATCACAAGGATAACGCTCTTCACCTAGTACATCGAAGAATGAAATCTTTCACGCATTATGAATAAACCGTAGTCATATCGCTGCGTATGAGTTGAGCGCTTAGATGTCGATTTTTTGAGTAAAAATTTAAGGTTCTATCGTTGAAAATCCTTTTTTTTCCTAGCAAAAAGGCTGTTTTGGCAGTTTTTAGCGTTAAAAGCATTTGTAGGAATTCCAGATGAATTTTTCAAAATTATTTCATTCTTTAGAAAAGTTTTAACAAACATATGAATCACATTATTTTTTTACATTTTGAGGAGTCATACATATTCTTTTTAATATAGGTACTGCATTTTTATGTCATTTTTTGGAGGTTGAAAAAGAGGATGTTACATCATCTATATAGCAAAGAAGTATTATTCTATTGTGTTGAATGAAAAGCTTTCGAATACCGACAAAATCAGCAAAAAATGTGCCTTTGGTTTTTCGAACTGTATGTCTATGTAAATATCTCACGCATATATATTTAAGAAAACAAAGCAGTTGTGAATAGCAAGAAGATGATATTCCTTTCTAATAATCTATAAATGGTGGAAATACAAACAATGAAGATTTTTCGAAGCTATTTTTATGGAAGCGGTTGACTACGAAAGCGATGCCTTGCAGAAGCAAATGAAAGAAAACGGTACCATAAAAGTCATTGACTCAAAAATCTTAGACAAGAAAACTTTAGATATTCTTGTTTGTTTTGAATACATGGAAACGGAATTAACAGAAATATTAGACTACCTTCGCAGTAGTCATATATTATTTGAAACAAAAACTAGTTTCTTGAAAGAGTATCTTACATGTAATTTTAGTATTATTACTATCAACATTGAAATTAGTTCTATCTCTGATACTCTTTCTGAAACCGAAGGCAGATTGGTTGCGGTTATAAAATAAGGATTTGCAGACGCACATATACTCGACGAGTGAGAGAACAGTCGAAGCAGCAGCGAGAAATAAAAAAAAACTTCACAAGCGTGTGTACGAAAGAATTTTTCAATCATAGTGTAAGAAACTGAAAAATGAATCTATATGATTGATTGTTTTTTCTTGGTAAAAGATTAATATCATCTAACATTTTCAGTTTTGACAGGTTTGGTTTTGGATGTTTTGTTATGTCAAGATTTTCACTTTCTATGTTTTGCCATCTAACTGAATCAGACGGTGTATAAGGTTGCTACACATTGTTAAAGTCTATAATGCGAAAAAAAGTCGCGCAGTTTCGATCATAAAGCTTCCATTCACTGTTTTCTTCAAGAAAATACGAGAGTATCAAGAAATGGACATTTTTTAAAGGAAATTAAGAACAGAAAATTATCATGTTTCACGTTTGAATTCCAGAAGAGCTTTGCCATTGATTTTTTGCTATTAATGTTTAATATTCCTTCAATAATCATATTCAATTATTTTGAAATTTTATTTTTCTTATTTGTACGTCATAGTTCTTTTTGCGCTAGAGATTAACTTTTGATGTTTTGTTATGCTACTATCAGTTTCACAAATATATAAAAATGAAATTTTTTTTAAAATAAAATTTGACTCATAAAGTTCGTTTTAGACAACAACTGTAATTAAGTAGATTCTGAAGACTTCGTTTGACAAGATATGGTGATGTACCTTACTTAAACTAGTTTTTCTAGAATAAATTTTAAAAGCAGTACTTACAGGATGAAAAAGGAAACCTGAATTTAGATATAAAAATTTTCATCATGAAAGAATGTGTATTGAAACAAAGACATTCAGAAATAGGTAACCGTCATTTTCACGATGATTGATTCTTTAAATATTCTATACTACTTCCTAGACAAACAACAAAACATAAAAAGACACGCTCCCTACAATAAGAAAATAAAAAACTTGAAAGAATGAAATTTTTCACAAATATTTTTTCTTTTGTTCTTCGCTTCACTACCAAAAAAATTCAAATCGAAAACAAATCAACCTATTTTCTAATGAAAAGACAGATCAATTTTCTACTCTTAGGGATGCAACAAAGCTGAAGATTTGGCTTTATCACGAAAGATTTGGAATCAAATTGAGAAACGAATCAGATTTCGACTTGGATTTGATTTATACAAATACTCTTTGGATTTGGATTTGGGTTTGATATAGAGAGTTCGGATTCACATTTGAGTTGCATATGGAAATTCCAGGTTTGAGTTCGAATTTAATGTTTAGGATCTGGTTCGGATTCGGATCTGATTTCAAATGATCTAAGCCGTTTGGTTTTTGTAGTATGAACTACCGCCAACAATATATTACAACTCACACTATATTACTTTTTCTTTATAAGTGCAGACTCTAAAGCAGACTAAAAACATGAATAGTTGGGTGTGAGTGTGGGTGGACGTGGGCGGGGGATGCGGGTGTGGATGGAGTGTGGATGTTGATGTCGATGAGGGTGTAATTCTTCTCTCTCGCAGCAACCACATCTGCAGTCACTCACACCCACACCCACGCTCTCATTTTTTGTGTTTGAGAAAAACTGTTATATCAGACAGTTATTTTTGTCGACGTCGCACTTTACACAACGTGAGATGGTCTTAAATGAAAAATACAATTATCATAAAATAAATCAATTATTATTTAAAGATTGAAATTGATCAGCATGCAGTTAAGAGAATTTTTTCCTTCATCAATCGAATAATTGAAAAACGAAAAAAAGGCTAGTACATCAATAACATCAGTGAAAAATGAAAACATTCAAGAGAAGATAATAACAATAATGATATATTAAGAGATAACCTGAACAATAGTTCTTTGGAAGATGTCAACCACAAAGTAAGTAATAGTTGTGATAATTGAATTACAATTTAATAAATAGTCAATGAAATTGTCTAATTTTTATTGATACGTATTAATTATTATTTTTCTTTTAACTAATAAGCGATGCAAAATTCTTTGAAAGAATGTCGAAATCTATTTCTCAACAATATATCATCGAATTGATTTCGATATTTTTTTTGATTGAAAGAGCAAAATGTGGAGAGTATTGACATAACAAGAACGATTATCGAGTATGCCCCTTTTAAATATCTTTTTCGTTTCCGAAGGTCTCGATTAGAAACACCAATGTTGTTTTAGAAAATTGAACACGTGTTTTTTGTTTCTCTTTATGTTAACGAACGACAATGTTGAGTAATCACAACAGAAATTCATAAAATGTCTATACGAAAGGAAAAGAAGACTGACAAACTGAAAGCATAGTTAAAGCAATGAGTGATTAATCTTTATCAACTGGGTAAAAAATCGGTGAGAAAACGATAAGGACGAGGGTGTGGGTGGGTGTGAGGTGTGGAGTGTGGGGTGTGGGTGCGGGTGAAATCAATACTCATACTCACACCCCACACACACACTCACACACCCACCCCACACCCTGCGAGGGTCTTAAAATTAGGATAAAAAATGGTAGTCCAGCAACAGTAAATTCCACTTTTCTCAACCCAGGAACCAACTTTCAAAAATCCGTTCGGACAAAAGTTTACTCTGATCGAGACCTTTAAAACAAAAAAAAAATATTGGCAATAGCTCGATAAATGAGGGAGGAGATCCAATTTTTCTGATTGGAAATCATATTTTGAGAAAAACCTTAAAGAAGTTTTAGAAGTGGTTTTTTACGGTCAAATTCAAAAAATTCGTATTAACATGGCATATTTTCAATAAATTTTCTAAAACTATTTTAAGGCGCGTAAAAGATGCAGTAAAACTAAGGCTATTTGACATGCGGGTTAATATTAAAATATTTTATTCAATGATATTTGAAGTAGTAACGGGGTCTTTCCAAAACTGAAAAACTCTAAAAAAACTACGAAAATTTCTTCGAAAATATGGTAGGGAAGTTAAAGTCTGATCTGACAAATCTTTGAAAAACCGATCATTTTCCAAAAATCTATATATATTCTGAAAGAGGAAGCTTCGCTCTATCTTGCTGTGGTAGAAACTCAATTTCGATATTGTTTCGAAAAAATCGATTTTCTGAGGGAAGGAGCCCTTAACAATAGACATTGCATTGATTAATGATTAAAAATCAGGGCAATGATCAGAATATCTGAATATAAAGAAATCAAGAATTATACTAAAAAAACCAGGACATAGTAAATTGCTGTGGGTGATACAGCTGCATAAAAATTCGTTTTGAAGCTAATTCAGTATTGACGTACTAGTTGAAGTTTACATTTCTCTTATACACCATATTAAAACTGGTGTAGTGAAAATACCCAGGGGGAAACAACTGAAACTTCACTTTTGAAGTCCGATGAAGTCTCAGAAGTCTCTTAAAATCTGATAAAATCTCATGAAGTCTCCTGAAATCTTATGAAGTAACATGAAGTCCCAGAAGTCTCTTGAAGTCTTTCGAAGTGTTTTGAAGATTTGAAGTCTCTGTTGTTGAGGTCACTTGAAGTCTTTCGAAGTCTTGAAATCTGAAGTCCATTGTTTCCCCCTCGTCCACACCCTATATATGTTTTTTTCTTTCCTTCTCTTCTCTCGAGATGGTATAGATGTTTTTCATCTCATCATGTTTTCTTCCAAGTGTCATTAGATTTTCTTCTATTTGGATCATATATATATGGTGTTGTCGTCTAAAAAATAAAAGAGAGTAAAATATTTATTATTGATAGAAAAGATCAAACCTTCCCGTAAACATATAGTTTAAGCGTGTGATTTTATGCTATTCATGCACATCTAGATCAATTTTTTTTACTTTATGGGCCCTCTATTTTATTTTAAAAAAATATTCTCAATCACTTTATTGACGTCAATAGTTTGTATGTTGCAAGTTACACATTTTATTCTCATGAATTGGCCTTGTAAAGAACCTAAAGAATGAGAAAAAAGAAAAAAAATTGGAAAAAAATTGGAAAAAGAAAAAAAATTGGAAAAAAATTGGAAAAAAGAAAAAAAGGAGCACTCAAGTAACGTAGGAAACGTACAATCCAGTTGTTATTTTTTTCTTTTTGCTCGCGTCACAGGCTTCAAAATAAACATATACCAGAAGAAATATGAATGACGTAGTTGCCACTCAGAACTGTCATCATCATTGTTGTCGAGTTGCTACCGTTTAAGATTTCATCAACACATTTTATATTGAAAATGGGTTGTGGTGTACTGTGCACGCCGTATACGCAACAAGATATTGATGCTGAAATCGCCGCTTTTACACCTCGTTTACCTGTAGCCGTACTTATGAATGGTGGTATTATCAAGCTTGAAGGTGCAAATGGATTTTTCAATCCGAATTCTCTTCTCGATCCGAGTTGGCTAAAAGGTAAAATGACACCGTAACAATATTACGAAGCGATCGATTATATTAATAAATGCACGGGTTACACTCATATTGGTCTGACTAGGAGTTTTCCGGTACATGAACGACATATGCGTCAACAATTAAGAGTTCAAGCAGGAATGGCTGCAGTAGAAAAGATCAATGAAAATAATCCATCAGTTCATTTTACTTATCAACAAACAGCCGAAAGCAAAGAAATGGATACAAGCTGGAGTACAGATCCAGCTATGCGCTATGGGCATCAACATCGTGCTCGCATTGGTCATTCCACAGTGACAGAACTTTATATTACTGTCAATTGATTTATATTTGATTTGGTTTTATTTAAGAAGCATCATGAATAGATTCGAAAGAATTATAAGTCCGGTATGAAAAAAAAACATGTGATCAACAGATGCATCATATGAAACATATTTGTTTTTTTACTCTATCATATGGAATCTATCAGCACATTTGCGAATAAATTTGACAAATAATTTTGAGAATAAATCATTGAAGATCCAGCTATTTCTTCAGTTAAACCCGACAGTACGAAAATTTAGATTTGATGGTTTTGTGTGTACTTCTGCATGGTGATGACAAAAGAAACCAGCGTGCCTGCCCTATTCGCTATTCGGCGGTGAAACAGATCCATTACGGAGAATACACTTGACATTTCACACTACGTTTGCAGTATTTTTTGTAACGTATAATAGTGGCAAGTTGGTGTGGATATGCATATCTGCTTAGATCGTAATCTTCTCTTCATTCAACGTTCACACTGATAAATTCAGTAGAATATTTGCATAGTTATCATTTTCAGTCGATATGAGACAAGGAAATCGCTGATTAAATTCTCTACGACGCTGAGAGCATTTTAATAAAGATAAAAAGTGTTTTTATTAGCTTAAACTTTCGATGTTTTCCTGGCGACCTACCTACAACACAACAGATCCTTTGACAATAGGAAAATATAGAGTTTCTTGTTAATTGAGCAAGCTATCATTTTATTTAACTTCTCCCTGTTAGACTGTATCAACTAAACAATCTCCGTCGATGAAGCTTTAAAGAGTCAGCCAGTGATATTATTTAAACAGCGTACAAGCTTGGGATGGTTATGGTGCGCTATTACTGATCTCTTTCGGTATTAGATTTTTTATTTCATAAATAGATGTCAAATAGGCATTCGTCGATAGCGTTGCAGAATGTATTTCCTTGGTTTCCGAGCGAAGAGTCGCAACATGACCGAACTCTTGGCACGACACAGCTTGTATAATTCTGTTAATTTTCGTCCATCCATCTGCTGATATACAGGCACCATTTGATTCAGTTGCTTATCAAGTAGAAAATTATGAACGTCAGCTGAAGTCCATTGAAGCATATCATTTGGATATGAGTGTGCGATGCGTTCATCTCTAAAACGATAATTGCAGAATTCAATAACCTCTAATTTCGCATGAGTAACAAGAACAGTTTAAGCGTATTCAAATTGTGCGTTTTGTGGCAGTTATAACTCAAGTTCCGTTTTTCCTTAAGTTACATTTATAAATAATAGCAACATACTGTAAGTCAGAGATGATTATTGGTCTTCGTAGATATCAAATTAAATTTCTTTCATTTAGTCGAAAATAACTCATATGAAAGCGATTTTCGTTCATGCCAGTAATTTGCTAACTAATTATAGTCGAATTCGTTCAAAACACTGAAAAACAATTATTATCCTTGATTTCATCGTTCTTACCTCACTGCTGGTGCTGGGGTGTGGGTGGATGTGGGGAGGGGGGGGGGGATATTATTGGCAAAGCACTGTCACCCACACCCCACGCCCCCACTCACACCCTGGGGACATGGATCTAGGTGTGCTCCATATTTCACTCACATCCTCGTACTATATTCTCAAGTTTTCCGATCGGAAGTAGTATGTATTCTTCGTCTGAGTATTTTAGGCTGATTTTCAAGTGTCATTTTTTTTCTTTAAAAATATATTTCTAATCCTAATGATAATAGAGGAGAACTTTTACGAGTACTAAGAAACAATCTCTTCTATATCATTCTGTTATTAGTGAAAGAAAGTTCAAAGTAACTTTGTTTAGTAGTACTCAAGCAAAGATATCATATGCAATTAAATTCAAGAAGTTATATAGAATTTATAAAAGATATTCATTCAAACAAGGTAAAAAGATGCAGAATTTTTATTTAAAAAAAAATTCCTTCTGTTTTCGAGTCAACATCAGCTACAACTAGTTCATTATTCATATATCATTTAAAGAAAGCATGCTAAAAATCAATGTCAATGTAATTAACTGCTGTCTGCACGTAGTCGATGATCCATAATTAATAATAAGAGAAAATGAAGAGCATCAGGTACCTTATTCGAATAGATTTCCAAATCATATTTAATAGGTTGTTCGGAGCCTCGTTGAGAACGAGCTCGAAATTTAGCTAATAATTCATTTTTCTTTTTAAGATAAATTTTTCCTTTTGGCGTCTTATTTTTTCGATTTCCAATCACTTGTTCATTATTATACTCAGTAGTATAATCAACAGAAAACCAATGAACAGTTCTTCGTAAAGTTCCATCCATCCATTTATTTAATTTGGAATCATAAATAGAATATGTAACATTAAATGGATCAAACATCCATAGACCTTCAAGATTAGCAGTCATTTTATTGTGAGAATAATCAAAAAGTATAACAGTATCGATGTCACTTCTGGATGCTGTTAAACGATATAAGTTTTGTTTTTCTTTTGAATCAAATATTGTATATCCATTTATTTCAAGTCGACTACTTCGTGCATTTTCTACCAGTACATAAGCACGTTCTATTTTTCCGGATTCAATATATTTATTCAGAAGAATAAATAATAATAAATAATTAATACTCTTCATGATGACCATAGATTAAATGTCGATGTATCTTTGCTTCTACTATCTTATATCAACCTTTAAGAAATCGAATTGTCAACAGTTATTACATGGCTATATCAACACTTAAATGTTGCATTATTCAATTTATCATAAAAACAAAGAGCATTTGTCATGTCTTATCTATAGATTTTCTTAATTAGAAAAAAGAAAACTAGCAGTATTCATCCAGGAGAAATATGTGTTTTTCGAGCTCCATAAATACCATAGCTAGAAAATACAAGAAGATTCAAGTCTATAATTGCAATAGTATTGATTGTTCGATTTTTATGTTGAAAAAAATGTTGAATATAGACATTAACAAGAAAATCTTACTTTAATAAAGTACTTTTTACTTAAAATTGATAAACAAAAATAGAACGAGAAAGGAAAATATTGATGGACAAGAAAAGTTATTGATGTTACCAACATGGGTTTAGTACTTATTTTAAACACTACGTTCTCTGTATAAAAAAATATTAAACTTATCACGAATAAGACATTTGATACCATGAATAGACGCATTTTAAAAAGAGATATGTCAAGACAAATATATAATATCAATATTACCTTGAAACAGATTTTTTTTATTCTATAAAATATGTATTAATACACATAAACAAACTCTTATGAAAAGAATTGTGGGTACACGTATTTCAACCATTACAGTAGAATATCTTAATCATGTTTCATTCTCTCTAGATTTCGATAAATAAATTACATGTAATTTTGCAAAGGTACATTTTATTTTCTTGGAAAACAATTTTACTTTTATAGTACAATCCTGTTATAAAACAAAGATATCATTAATTGGCCGAAAAAAACTGAAAATATTTTTGTGTGTATCAACAATTCGGCTTACTACTTTCATCCGTTTTTTCTTTGAAAAAATATCTATATGTTTGCCTGAATCATACTATGTACAATTTCAAGTGCAATTTCTTTTCAAATAGAGAGATGATAAAGTAGAAATTGAAAATTCAAACCAGATCTTGATCAGACTTGATTTTATTCCCTTAATCAAGAATGATTTATTTTGAAACCTATTAAAAATTTTCATAATAATGCACTCAACGAAAAGCAAAAATTGATAGAAGTTTTATTAATTATTCAGTCATGTGTATTTTTTAAATAAAGTATTGAAGAATTAATATCAATATAATTAGTTTTCACCAGCAAAACCTCGATGATCTATAATTAACACTAAGAAAAAATAAACAGCATCAGGTACTTTAGTTGAATAAATGTTTAAATCATATTTGACCGGCCTCCAAGACAGCCATCGAGTACGATATCGAAATTGAGCCAATAATTCATTTTGCTGTTGTGTATAAACTTTTATGTTTTTCGAAAAACGGCTCGATTTTGCACTTAATCGTTGATTATTAAAATGAATTGTATAATCTTCATAGGTATGAGTATTTCTTTGTATAAATCCATCTGTCCATTTGCCTAACTTTGAATCATAGACAGAAAACGAAACGTTAACTAATTTTTCTATCCATATACCTTTAAGATTAGCTACGATATTCTTTCTATAATTATCAATCAGTATAGCAGTATCCACTTCAGTTGAAGAAATTCTTATTCGATATAAATGTCTTTTTTCTTCTGAATCAAATATTGAAAATCCATACATTGGTTTTCCCGAAGCTGTTGCATTGCGTACAATTACATACGTATGATGAGATTTTCTCGCTTCAATACATTTAATTAGAAAAATAAATAATAATAAACAACAAATAACCTTCATGATTATGATACACTAAATGAAGATACGCTTTTTTATATCTCATATTGTATCAAATTTCTAAATGTTCGATTGTCATCAATTATTACATTACTGTCAACACTTATAACTTCAATTACTCAATATATCATAAACATAGAAGAGAAACGACAATCTGTACGATTTTATCTTCATTTTGTCATTCATAGAGAGAGTTTTCTTGCACTTTATCGACGACAAACACATAATGTTTTGGAGAAAACATAGATAAGATAAAGACCTACTGAAAAACAATAAGTACATATTTTATATTATAGTCTGTCCAAAAAGTCTGTGCGCTTGACTGTTTTTTGAATAACTCGAGAACGTAAACAGCTAGAGACCTGTGGTTTTCACCAGTCGAAAGAGGAGGAGTTAGGCCTTCTTTTTTTCTGAATTGACTGTTTTAGAAGACTATTTTTTTAATTTCTATTGACTAAATAATTCATATACATAAATTTAATGACTTCTTCAAAGGCAAATTGTTTTCTTTATGAATTGCCGAAGAAAAAATTTTCATTATAATCATGTCACAAATGGGCAAATCAAATCAAAATTTGACTTGATCATTCTTGCATTACATGGAAAGTTTTAAGTTCTATGTACAGAGTTTTTTATGTTAAAAATATGATCAACATATCCTCCAAACAGTATCGCCTAAGAATGAATTCTTTGTCTAAAATGAAAAAACAAAAGAACAGTGCTCAAATTTAAAATTTTGATTAGAAAATATTTTTCAGTCGAATATTCATTTTAATTTGAAATAAGTAAATCCATAGTATTTTTTCCATTTGATTTACACAATAAATAATTTCTTTTTCGAATTGAAATAACTCCATTATTTAGATGAATTTCTTTTTTCTGTTATAATATAAGAAAAGAAAAAGAAATATGAATCATAAGTGAGAATCTATTTTTCTTCCTTTCTTTTATTAGTCTACTGTGCATTTTATGCTTGTTATGTAAATATATAATCATAAAGCAGATGAAATAGAAATCATACTTACCTGCCACGGATGCATGAACGATCAATAACGTGAATGCTCCAAGTTGAGGCATGAACATTGCACATCGTTCGTGTTGACGCCTGCGAAAAGTTCACATTGAACTTTCTCGAGTGGAAAATTTATTACGCGGTCATTTGCGTTCGCGCATTGGCCATTTAAAAAAAAAAGAAAAACAAAATAATATTTTTTTTTTGTTAATATTGCACAGAGAAGACTTGACAAATTTCTACTAAGAAAATTTAAAATATAACAGAGAAGAATTCTTCGAAAAAAAAACCAATTTTTATATGAATAAAGCTTCACATGATTACTGCCTAGAAACATGTTATTTCTAATAAAATGTGTCAAAGAACGAACATATCTATCTGCGTCTATATTATTGAAAATTCATGTTCAAAAATTTCGAATAATATAACAAATCTTTTTTTCTTTTCACACTTGAAAGTGCCCTATAGAAAACAGAACAAAATTGTTGGTCTTTGGGAATATCTGCGCTTAAAACATTGGAGATATAGTTGTCAATCATCTATGAATTGACATTTAAAATATTATTCATTTTAATGCTAATATTTTATTATTAATTAATAATTAGTACAAGTATTATATGAATATCTATTTCAGTTCATTACTGTATTTAAATGACTGAAAACTATAATGATAATAATGGCAGCTTCTATTGATTTTAAAATTAAATGGATTTGATAAAGACAACAAAAATATTTTTCAGAATATTCTCAGTCTATTTCATTTAACAATCTTTTATCCTTCCTTTTTGTTTTTGTTTGAAATAATCTCGTTAAATTCTTTTTAAATCACAATATGATATAGAAATAAAGTTTTTTGCTCACATTATCACGTATCAATCTCAGCATGACATCTTTCATTTCATTCTTATTTTCCTAATGAAACAATTAACACTCAATGCATACTCTTTTGATCTGTTCATTCATAAAATCAATAAAAAAAAAAAATACAAATTCTTTCTTTTTATTAATAAATAAATACACTGTATATGTCAAAAAAAAGACTAGAATTGTAGAGAACGAATAATGTCTATTGATGATTGTTGTTAATTATTTAATGTCGAGTGTATAAATGGAAACACAAGTGTACTTAGATTAATAAATGTACTTGATAAATCCTGTTTAATATAAATGTAAGATTACAAAAATAAAAAGAATATTTTATATTTTATATTAAACGAACCATTATCCGATAAGTACAAGTATTATTATTAATTATTTGTTGAATAAAGAAAAAATGTTTAATTAAGTTTTCATTGATTAAATATATGGATAATTTAATCAAGAATAATTCTATCGAATAATAAATGATCCAATTAGTTGATTATTATTACAAATATATTCTGATAAACTTTCTTGATACCATGCAGCAGTTGATAATAAATCTTCATCACTAAAGTTAATCGAAAAAAAAAGAAAAATTTGTAATTTAAGATATACTCTTAACAGAAACAGATGTTTAGGAAAAACTATTCTTGTCAATAAAAAATTCACTAGTGCATCAATCAACCATCGCTAACAATGAAAATTCGATTATTGTTATTATTGAGGGTGTGAGTGTGGGTGGGTGTGTCCTTTCTCTTGAACATCGACACCCACACCCACCAACCAGACTCCACACCCGCACCCACCCATACCCACCACCCAGACCCCACATCCACACCCCACACTCTTCAAGATCTAATTTTTCATATGGAAAAAGTTTAAATTTAAGAGAAATAAATGGATTAATGAGGAATTGTTGAAAACGAGTATTGAGTTTAGAAAACGCTTTATAAATATGACAACCATCAAGATATTCAAAGAGGTGTGCATAGAAAAGGCCAAAACAAAAAACATCGAAAAAAAAGGTAGAAAAAAAATGTTGAACGATGAAAATATCGAAAAAATTTGAGTATCAATGAAGAGAAAATTCACATTCATATTCACACTAGGATCCTGCAGGGTAAGGCTTTACCGTACCCTATCCTCTTCCTAGTCTAAAAGTTTTACACTCGTACTCTACGCTTTCTACATTTGATCGGTCTAACCAAGACTAAAAAACATCAATCCTGGATCCATGGACTTTAATAGATTCTAACGAATATTTTCCAGGTCGATGATTACGCCTTCCGGAAACGACCGGAATCGGCCGGAAAGATGAGGAAAAATCACTCTTTCCAGTAGAAAAACTCCGGAAATCGATGAAATTGGAAGCAGTATTCCGGACCAGAAGATCGTCGGATTTTTCCGGTGACTACCGGCCGTTTCCCACTGGAAAGAACAAGGATTTAGTCAGAAGACACCGGAAAAATCCGAAGATTTTTCAGCCCGGAATACTGCTTCCGTGAAATCTTCGGAATTCCATGGAATCGACCGTTTTCTTTCCGTATTGTTCACCTGGGTTGTTATCAAATGGAGCCAAGCACATTCATCTGGCTCCATGGGCATCCACCTAGATCTCGAATCCATTTTTTCTTCTTCAAGGCTCACCGTACCTTACTCTATGACTCACTACTTAAACTTTACTCTGAGAACATCGATTTTGAGATCGTGAAAATTTATGTGCACATTTAAATAAAAAAGAATGGTGAGAACTGGTGATCAAGTTAAAGCTGAACAAGAAATAGCCAAAAGTGATAACACAGGATACATTATTGGTCTTTATCTTCATTATATAGAACAAGTATCATCATTTGCTTATAGTAATCATTGAAAACCGCATTTTAGTTAGTATAAATAATATTATTTTCTATACATACAGTTGGTAGTACTGGTTTTTTTGCTCGACATCATGTTGTTATTTGCATAGGTGACATGAATAGAAAGCCTATTATTTGGAAAATATTTAACCAAAATTACATTAATTCTATTAGATTTTCTTTGTCAATTCAATATATATATATCTCCCCGGCAAAAAATAGTTAGACTCTGTATTTCGAATATATTTCCATCATAAGATCATACTTTTTTTAAAAGTAATTACATATTCTGAAAGCCCGTGGAGTTTTCTATCACCCTGTATAATTAGGTTTTAGCTTCAACCTATTCATTACCAAAATAAATTGAGGACAATAAAAGCACCCTCATGTCCAGATTCCCATAAACTTGATTTTGTCACTATCATCAAAATTAGTTTTTAAATTTTTCATCACTATAAAATCATCTTTTGAGAAAAGTAATTCTATATTCTGATAGAGCTTGAAATTCTCTATTATCCTATGTATTTTTATCATGCCTTGCATATATATGCTGCAGCGCATTCAGCACATAAATACAAGGCAAAATAAAAATACATAGGATAATAGAGAATTTCAAGCGCTATCAAAATATAGAATTACTTTTCTCAAAATATGATATTATAGTGATGAAAAATTTTAAAAACTAATTTTGACAACAGTGACAAAATCAAGTTTATGGGAACCTGGACATGAGAGTGCCAAGGGCTTTCAGAATATACAATTACTTTTAAAAAAAGTATGGTCTTATGGTGAACACATATTCGAAATACAGAGTCTAACTATTTTTTGTCGGGAGGGGGGATATATATTCATTACAGTGAAAATCATAAAATCAATAAAATATTATTATCATATAAGTCTTTATTTTCATATTCGCATTCCAGAAATACTCTAAATATTCTCATAATTCTATCTACCACTATACCCGAGGTCGTTGCTATGCCAACGTTCATTATTTCATAACTGACTGAGAGAACAAAACACGTCCGATATCCGTATACCATTGACAATGAAAGGTTATGTATATCATGACCCTTGCATAAACAGCATTTTACTCCATGAACCGAATAACAACAGACAAAATGGATCGATTGCCGTGCGAATTATTACAACACATCCTTGAGTACATTGATCAGCCGTTAGATCTTTCGCGAATGTTTTCTGCCTGTAATCGTTGGCAGTGTTTGATTATGAATGATGAATATTTTCTCAATCAATGGTTTTCTCGATCATTG